TTCCTTTGGTTTGGAGCTTGCCGTTGAGGGAGAAATCTAGTGCTAAAACAGTCGCCAAGCAATGGACATGGAATAGTGGTTGATGTTTATGTACTAGTGGCGAAAAGGAGCTCAAGAGAGCTTCTCTTCAGATCACTGCTGCATTCATGAGGGCAAGTCATGGTCATGTTATCCAATCACCTTGTCCTAATTTATCCAAGTGTCAAATATCAATAATGTTGATGGAAAACATTATTGAGACCGACAAAAAGTTTAAATAAATCGCAGCGCATTAATCATAGATTTGCACAGAACTCAATTTTCATACTAAATGGTCTGAAGCAGTTGATTGACCAAATTTTAAGAAGACTTTTCATTGAAACAAAACATGAACTCGTATCGTGTTTACGCATTCCGACAAGCAATACTATGTAAATCGCAGAAGCCGTGTTTAAAATGAGAACTTATAAAATGCCACTGGTGCAATTTTTTGACTGTTTCAAAATTTTGAAATACACAGCAAAGACTTTCGAAAAAGAACCGCAATGTGAGGTGCAACCAACGCGTTTGTCGTTTATAGAGGCCCCATAAAATATTATAGCGCCGAATGTGAGCATAGCATTCACTGACCGCCATAGAGCTAGGTGGTTGAAAATAAAGCATGTTTACCGCAACCCCTTGTTGGAGTCTAGCCCAATAAAAACTAGGAAAAAGTAAAAGATCAACATGCCGACCATTATTTAAAGACTACATCAAGCAAGGAGCGAATATGGAGGCACGAACCTCGTGAGGTTTGGCGTCAGGCAACTCGAAAGGCATAGAGCGGTCCATCTCGAAGGACCAGCCTTGCAAATCACCGCGAAAGACGGGGCGAAAACGCAGCAGTCGCGCCACATAACGAGGCCAATAGGCGAATTGGAAGGCGGGATTCTGTGAAATGGAATCGCAATCCTTTCAAATCAGATGAACAAGCGTAACTACCTTCTACGGTTAACCATTTCAATGCACGTATGAGGTCACAAATTAGTCGGTCATGGATTCAGTAAAGAAAAATGGACAGGAAAAGTAAGATTTCGCTCAAGATCCCGTGATCCGATCAAACACAGCATGATCGTCAATTCACGACCAGTTCTCGAATCACCAAGGCAGGAGGTTATAAAGGGTGAATGGAGGGTGATGTCCTACACTAGTTGACCAATTGGAATAAAGCTGCCAGTGACAAAGGATTATACCTAAATGCGAAATGGTTGTCTTAGAAAAAGTTAACTCACGGTGTAATAACGGATTATCACCGACATTTGAACAACTATGGAGTGAAGGAGGAAGGCAGTCAGCAAAGACACTAAAAAAAGTGTGGCTGAGTCATTCTTTATTGTTAGTAAACATAAATGCCCAATACGCATAAAGTACAGAAGGTAGATGGAAAAGAAATAAACTTCATGCGGATTGAATAGTTTAAGCCATGCAAGCGAGGTAGCAAGCGCGGGATGTTGTACATCTTATGAAATTGCCCTCATTTTAGTTCCAACGCAAGATGTGAAGCTTTGCATGTTCGATTCATCTGTCAGCTTAAAAAGAAAGAGGAAAAGGCAATAAATATCCGTAATGTCCACAGGGAGGAACGCTTAACATGCTCTAAAAAAGCCTCCTTGAAGTGTAAAGTCTTAAAACTTATTACATACTGGCCTTTATTGGAAGATGCCACAGTAACGAAAACTAGTCGACGAATTTGCATAAGATGTTCTCGATCACTGAAGTATTATGGCTAGAAACTAATGTCACAAGAGTTTAAAATTCTACTAACCGTGAAACTCAAAGCTTTATTAAGACAGGAATAGTCGCAATAAATGAGCTTCATATGCAAGAAGGGCAGGAAAAATCCAGCTTTTGAAATTAAAAGAATGCATTTTTACGGTACTGATAACTTGGCAAAAGGCGCCAGAAAAAAGCTAGAAGTGAGGCATACAATCTATAAGTACGTAAAGTTAGATCACGCCTAAATCAGCAAGAAGTTTAAGGATGGAAGGTAAATGCCGATTCTGCTCTACCCAAAACTTCTCTCAAGGAGATTATTCAAAAGAACGGCTCCCCCTTCCCCCTACAATTATCTAAACCCCAAATAAAAATATGCGACTCGACAGATTTCCATTCACCGGAGTGATAAAGGCTGAATTAGATTCTTGGAATTCTTAAAATATTTCCCAATCAGTAAGAATATTCTTACCCGACCGCGTGTTCCACGAGCGAGGTAAGATCGCATGACAGAGATGAACTCCTCGGCGCTTAGGTGGCCATCTCCATCGGCGTCGAAAAGCAAGAAGACTGTGTTGACAATGACATCGTTCAACCGTTTACCAATTACTGCACGGGCTGCTCGCTGAAATTCTTCTGCAAAGAAAAGAAGTTGATCAGTTGCCAAAGATCCAAAATTAACGCCAAGTGTCGTACCTCTAGAAATTTGACGATTAGAGAGCATGTACATTTTAAGGGCCGAATAAAGATCTTCGAATTGAAAGAGCAGGTTGAAGAATGAGCAGTAGGACTCAAAATCGATGCTATCTTCTGCGAACATTATGCTCTCCGCAACATGCTCAAGACCCCTTTCTTTCACCTTTTCTGGCAGTTCGGCATACCGCAAGATTATCTGAGCCATTTGCAGTGGAGAAATCGAGTCGTTCCCGCAGCTAGAGCGATAAAACTCTGCTCGCAGAATCTCAGTCTGCAGTCCTAAGATGAATCTAAAATTGTTCATTAAAATTACTACAGAGTATAAGCAAAATTGACCAACGTAAACTAAAAAAAGGAGTTACCTACTTGAGAAAGTCCTTATAGGCAAGCTTTCCGAGACCATCTTTATTGAAGAAATGACGCTGAATGGTAGTAGAGCATTGTAAAGCAGACTAAATAATTGGTAAGATATGTAATTCAAACTTGTTCAGTAGATGCCCTGATCCGAAATTTCATATTGCACAAATTCATTATCTATCGATGACAAATCAACAGAACCGATTTTACCTGAAGAAATTCAGGCCTTTCTATACTTTCACTGAAATCCTGATCAAACATTCTAAACAATACGCGCAGATTGTAACTGCTATCTAGTGACATTCAAGGGTATGAAAAGTGACATACTAGTTAAGATAGATAGTAAGAAGAGATATTCAGAAAAAGAAATGAGCCCACTTCTATCAAGGGTGTGAAACAAGGCACTACAACTTGAAGAAACATGAGGCGTCTTGGCCAGAAGCTTTTCAGCTGTGCAATTATCAATTACATGGCGTTTAATACAAACGGGTGGTCTAGAACCGGTTACGCAATCGATGAAATCACGAGGTGTCATAAAGGCTTCACCATCAACCTCAACAGACGCAAATTTGTGAAAGAGGCGGATAATAACATGCTGAAATTTAGTTTAGTACACATATTTACCTCACCCGACGGCTCAACATCAGGTACAAAATTCAGCAGTTTATCGGAAGCTTCATTCTTTCGACCGAAGGGCATAATAAGGTGAGCTGTCGTAGCAACAACTGAGAATAGTGAAGCACGGGCAAATGTGCGATAAGAGCGACTTAATAATGGTATCATCCGCATCCGCCGCAAAACATTTGCTATGTCAGGGTGAAAAAACCGTCCCATATCCAAAATCCTGAGCGAAAGCAGTAAGCATGAGAACAACTACCCTAGAGGGGCAGGGCGCAATCTTGTATTCAGCGCTCAACATTCTCCACTGTTAAGCAATGGGCCGAATTCTAAATACGCTTTATGACGGGCAAAAAGGTAACGAGGGTATTTTATTGTAACCCAAATATTTAAATAGATATTGACAGAAAATCATAAAATGGAATTAGGCAGGGCTTCAAGCCTAATAATTAAATCAAGTATACCGAAGAGCAAAGGAAAAGAAAATTAATTTGTGGCCGAAAATGTGCAGAAATAAGGGCATTATTAATTTTTTCATACGGCCTTTGTAGTAAATTCCTGTTTACTCTTATGCTCTTAAACTCCAAGAGAGGGTTATTTGAGTAGATCTTAACAGGCATTTAAAACGGGACGAACGGAGATGGGAGTATAGATGAGTCGAGTGACAGACACTACCCGGGGATTGAGTAATGGTTCGTTTATGTGACTACCTGACGTTCGGCGGTCACTTTAGGATATGTCTGGCCCCCGCACTCGTGGGCTGCATTCGGACCATGCTACAGTCAATTTACTCTATTTTTTTCGGATCACATGCATCCAGCTTCAATTACTCCCTTTTTCCATCGGGTGGAAGATCCCGAGACGCTACAAGGGACTCTCCTCGATATTCATGCACCAGATTCGATTTCGAATTTACACCTATACTAGGACGTAGTAAAAATAATTCCGATGCGAAACATTTGCAGGTGGTTCACAGCGGCGGTGCCTCAGTCGAAATATCCTGTCTGTGAAATACGGAGGCAAGGTGGAGCTAAACGCATATATCATTCCCAACCCTTCTGTTGTGAAGAATTCAGATGATCTCTCGCCCGATGTAAATGCGCTTCCTCCACAC